CCCCCCCAGCCCCTCCGCCCGCGCTAAGCCTTTTTGTGCCAAGTACACCAGCTGGACGCCAGTTCAGGGCCATGAGGGAGGCGGACGGGACCATGGGAAAGCAAATGTTCAGTTTTACATTCTTCATGCATGACCGCTAGGATTGTAATAATAACATTTAAACGTTAAGATTATTTATTTTACATCTCAGAAGGCAATCCTACTACAGATTTTCGATTCCCCACGGTAATAGATTGCGCATGTGATGTTGCTACTCTTCCGAAATGTTGCTGCAAACTCCGTGCCTCTTTTCTGAGCTCACGCCGGGCCGTGTTCCGCTCGCCGCGCGCAAGGCAGCATCTGCTGCTGCTTTCTACCCGCGGACCCGGACCGCCTGCTCGCCTGCTCGAGCAGCTGTCACGTCAGCACCGCCGATGATGGGAGACCAAGTCGTGACGCTCCTCCTGACGTGACGCGCACGGCGCATCAAGTCCACGTGACAAAGTGTGACGAGGCTTCTGCGTCACGACGGTTCAGCCTCGCGGAACAAACCCGCGACCGTCGCGCCATTACAGCCGCCGTTAAAAGACGGGAATGGGGGGCGACACGACAAGGACCCCCTCTTCCTTCCTTCCCTTCAACTGCTGTGTCCCCACTCACGACGTCCTTACTAGGACATGCTGTCGTACATTTCACCACCGGGGAATGAAGAAATAGAGTAGACTTGAAAGAAAAAAATGCACCTCTTTTTCTTTTCCTCTTGCGCGCACTTATTTAACAATAAAGCAGTGGTCGATCCCCCCATTGTTGTCACAGAAGGTCCGTTCTTTACGTCGCCCCCTTACGCTAGCGGGAGTGGGCCCCACCTTCACCCCGGTCCAAGCGTTCCGAGCGCGATACCCGCTGGCAAGGTCTCCTGGAAGGGGATTCCTGGAAGAGGATCCTGGAGGAGGGCCGGCCCGACCCCATATCACTGCAATCTACCGAAGTGCTGACAGCCAGCTCGCCCCGCCCCGCGCATAGCCCGCCCGGCCCACGACGGACCTGCTTAAGTGATACAAAGGACGGGGTGGGGTGGGCTGGTAGGAGGAAGGGG